TGAGACCAAGTCTCACTCTGTTGCCCAGGCTAGAGTGAGTGCTGTGGCGTCAGCCTAGCTCACAGCAACCTCAAACTCCTGGGCTCAAAGCAATCCTACTGCCTCAGCCTCCCGAGTAAGCTGGGACTACAGGCATGCATCACCATGCCCAGCTAATTTTTTTCTATATATATTAGTTGGCCAATTAATTTATTTCTATTTATAGTAGAGACAGAGTCTCGCTCTTGCTCAGGCTGGTTTTGAACTCCAAACCTCGAGCAATCCGCCCGCCTCGGCCTCCCAGGGTGCTAGGATTACAGGCGTGAGCCACCGCGCCCGGCCTTAGTCTAAGCATTTTTAATTTATGCTTCTGTCACATAATGTATTGATACATTATACTAGTACTCTCCATGAGTCAAAGAATGTCATATTTACTGATGTAATTCTTTTTCTCACATAATCATAGATATAGTATACATTAGAAAATTATTCTGTCTGTTTTTATATTTTAATTTTGATTTTTTTTTTTTTGGCTAATTTTTTCTATATATATTAGTTGGCCAATTAATTTCTTTCTATTTATAGTAGAGACAGGGTCTCGCTCTTGCTCAGGCTAGTTTCGAACCCCTGACCTTGAACAATCCTCCTGCCTCAGCCTCCCAGAGTGATAGAATTACAGGCTCAGTCTGGTCTTGAATTACTGGCCTCAGTCTCCCAAGGTACTAGGATTCTAAGCATCAGCTACCGCGCCCAGCCGACAAAGTAAAGCCCTTTATTAATGTAAGCTCTTCGGTTACTTTAAAGCCAATTTTCTTTACATAAAATGCAGTAAACAAGGGTTCTGTTAATTCCCCAATATGCTGTCTATACTCAGTACTTGGATTTTGTTCCATTCTGTTATCTGTGGTGACATGCTCACAGTCTTAGGTACACACTGGGTCAGGCTATGCCTTCCTTCAGGGCTGGACCAACTAAATGATGATCCAATGCTCCCTATAGCTTTGCACAAACTTCAAATAATCCCAAATTTCTTCCATTAGATCTTTTAGGTTTTTAGGTTTTTGCCCTTCAGTTATTGTTGATACTCTTGATACAGTATAGTTATGAAATAATGGAAGCAGCTTCCATGGCCAGTAATAGGGAAATGCTATAATAGTTAAATTAGGATATATTCATGTGTTGGGCAGTGTACAGTTATGTTTACAGGTGTTTTTAGATTCAAGTGGAAAAAAAATCAAGATGTAAAACTGAATGAAAATATGACTATCTCCATAAAAATATTCATTTAAAAAAAGCTGGATAAAAAAAACCTAAACATTAATAATATCTGCCTCTGGAATCTATAGGTTTGTATATGCTTTTGGTTTTCTTATTTATACTTTTCCACATCTCTCACATTTCCTACAATGCATATATATAACTGTTTTCTAACCAAAAATATATATATAAGTATACCTCTAAGGTACTGGAGGTTTCAGTTGTAGAATTTCCAGTATTATTGCTTGAGTTTGAAGACACTGTTTCATTTTTGCTTTCATTATCTGATTTCTCATCGGAACTCATACATTCAATATCTGCATCAAACCCTGTTGGATATCCCATTGCTTGCAATACCTGTAAAAATTACATTAAGATGCAATTTTATTCAGACATCAGAGACCAGAGATTAGATGAAATATTATGCATAAAAATTTCAAATTTGTAACATTTGGATCCACAAAACACCTTGCAGGAAGAATAAGAGGCTGCTAAATCTGTAAGTCCTTGGTTAAATAACATATACCTACCAGGGTAGCATCATGGAAAAATAGGGAAAACCTCCTTAGAGTAATTAGGTTTAAATAAGGGATAAAAGAAATACAAATCTGAGGCTACTCCTAGTTCATTTAATTTGGAGGTGGGAGGTAGAGAAAATAAACAACATAGCCAGGTTCAACCAATTGGATGAAGGGAAAAGTCAAAAAGCACACTGTAAAAAGTAAACTAGATTAGAAAGAAAAAAACCTGAGGATCTAATCCTGTATTTCTCCTCTGGCCCTCATTTTTCAATCTATAAAACAGGAAGACTGGATTAGTTGACCTTTAAATTCTATAACTCAATCCATTAGAAGAAAATGGCCCAGAAAAGGAATCAAGAAATATTTTTACCTTTAAACCAATTTCCCTAGCAATTACAAACATCTAAAGCTTTCTACTTACTGTGCTTTCAATGTAAACCATAATCAAGACTTAAATGATTCAGTCCCTATACTAAGTGAGCTAGGAACAATTTTAGTTTTGTATTTCCATCCCTTCCTCTCAAGGCCTGAAAATTTTAGGGCTACCTCCAATGTTCAAACTTCTTATATTTCCATTTGATGCCAAGTATTTCTCATACTTTTTTGAAATAAGGCTTTCAGAACATGTGTGTGTACACAAGCATGCTCACATGCACACGCACACATATATGTCTTTTATTACGTCCTTCCAGGTTATACTGTTTTTTAAATGTTTACAAAAGAATATGTTCACTAGCACTTTTATAAGCCTCTTTGAAAGTAGGTTGATCTTGCTTTGTCAGTTACTAAAAGTTTACATCAGAGGATGACCCTACATCCTTTAAGTTCCTAAAGATACCCTGCATTTGTTTCAGCTTTTAGCTGTTTTAAGTTGCTAGAGCATAAAAGCAAAATCATATTTCCTTAGAATACCAATTGTACTTAGTAGGTGTCACAAAAAACTGTTACAGTGGCTATATGAATGAGAGGCCAGCCTGTATAGACAATGACATCTTGTATAAAGGACTTGGCCAATATAAATAAAAGTGTTACTCCAAATAAAAAAATGAGCTTACATAGAACTCTATACCAAGAGAGCTTGAAATTAATTCACTGAGTTCATATGGAGAACTTGGCATTCATCATAAATAAATTTCTTGTGTTTACTTGGGAGTAAAGCCAAGAACCCTTTTTTAACATCTTAAGTTCTAAAAGTACTCAGGTAGTACATTACACTAAGGACATTAACATCATTTGGTTATATCCTCATCAATATTTTATAAAGAAAACACCTCTCTGCTATCTGAGTCCTGCAAAGATGCTCTCCCTGAGAAATCTCCTCTCAGAGAATAGCCATCAGTCTAGAATTAACACTAGCTTATGTAGGCTGCAAGTCAAAAGCCAGGCATAGCAAATATATTTGTTTATTCCAATAAAAACCAAACACATTCAGCTTTTCCCAACTTAACACAGACAATTAAAATAGTCTAATATAAATTAACACCACTTCTCTCTACTCTTTTCTCACATATCAGATTTATGTATATACTCATTACAACAATATATTTCAATACATTTATAGTTTATATAACTGATGGATTATATCTCAAAAGATACAATGTCCATTTACAATATAGTATAATTAAATAAAACATTTCGAATTAAGTCATTTTTCTATGAACATGAATTCTAACAGCATATACTAGCTAGCATATGCTACAGAACAAAAGTCAAAAGATGGAAAGAGTTCTCAGATCTTTGGAACCAACAAAGACTATCTTCTTGAGCAAACTCTAGACCAGATAACCAGAACCACTTTTTCAACTAGGTCCCATCCTTGGGCCTTGTCCTTAAGAATCCAGTTGTAGCAAGAATCCTACTAAATTTCTTTAGCCAGAATCTTCCACCCTCAATATCAAATCATCCTTGATATCTAAATCCTATTTTCTCATTCCCCTTATGCCACAGGTTATGTCTGATTACCCTGGCCTGCCAGCAGCAAGAATTCCTAGGTCCGCTTAAGCTAGAAATCCTTTACCCTTGATGTCTCTTAGTAATTTTCCACCCTGACCCTCCCTGTTCCTTGGCTATAAATCTCCACTTGTCCACTTTGAATTAAAAATTGAGCCCAGTTCTACACTGAGGTCTCTTTTACCCTACTGCAATAGTTCCTGAGTAAAATTTGTTTTACTACTTCAACAACTATCTAGCTTTGATTTTCTGAGACAGAAGCAAAATTTATTTGGAATCAATTACTAAAGCCCAAAAATCAGTATGCCAAAGAAAAGTGAGTTTCAAGTCCCTGGCAAATAAATTTAAGCCTAAAAAACACAAGTGAGCTGAAAAATCACAAGATAATTGATGGAAACAAGATGGCTGGGAAATTGGCTATGTGTAACTATGAACCATTCTTCCTAGAAGAGGGCTGAGATTGAGAAAGGTTGAGATTGAGCAAAATAATACCCCAAGGACTAGGGGCCAAGAGTGAAAAGAAAACACATGGCACTCTACACCATGGTTTTCTACTCAAAAGAAAGTAACATTCATGGCTTCTACATGATAGAGATCTGATTTCATCCAATTTCTTAGGAATCTGATGGCTCCAAGAACCTCTCCAAAGAGGCTTCATTTCTTATCCCTGTCTAGCTGACCTTTTTCCACAATAACTAAAGTTCTTTCATGGAATATGGCTAATTATGTCCCTAAAGGTGTCCTTTGTGAGTGGCTGCCAGGATAAAGAAGTAGAAGAGGAAAAGGAAGACTGGCCACTAATTTCCATTACTTTATAGTGCTTGCTTTGGGGCAGCCAGGCCAGAATCACACAGAAGAAACTAATTTCTTCTTATTTTGTTTTGATTTGATTCTCTGGTGTGATTTGTCTTAACAGGTACAAACCCCCTACCAACTTATTGAGTAAGGACTGCAAGTATTTTTATCTATAGTGGGACCTACTTTCATAAATACATGTAAGATGTAAAATTTTCTCTCAAACTCACTTATAAACAGAACCTACAACAGGTATAATCTTTATGGATAGCAAGTTGGCAATATATGTCTGGTATATAATAAAAATACTGGTACATTTGTTAATGATTTAATGCATCATTGAAGTGTGCTTACCTTTTGACCTAATAATTCCATCTCTAGAATTTATCTTCAGGGATAATCAGACAAGTTAAAAAATATGCAAAGCATTAAAATGGAGGCATCTAAATCTAAAACTATTATAGTTATATTATGATAGCTTGATAATAATGAAATATTAGGCCATCACTAAAACTGAGAGCAGTCTTTGTGTTAACTATAAAAAATTCATAATATATTTTTAGATTAAGAAAATTTTAATTATATATACTATTTTAATTATATATACTATTTTAATTATATATACTTTTATACACATTATATAGGCCAGTCCACCATTCCTTACCCAAACCCTTGGCACCAGGATTTTTGAGAATTCATAATTTTTTATTTTTGAAAGCAAATATAATACATATACCACATATTTTCCAAATCCCCAGTGGGTTCTCGGGTGCTACCCCATGTTTGTACAAAGAAATATGAAATATTCACACTAAATGGAATAACAGAGACTAAAAATAGCCCATTAATTCAGGTCAGGTTTTGCCACCCAGTGAATCTGCATCAAACTTAGGGAAATTCTTTTTCATCTTTAGTACTTTTTGAAATTTGGAATTGCAAGCTTAAAAAAAAAAAAGGCGGCTTGAAATATATATACCAAAATGTCTATAGTTATTATTTCCAGTTGTTAGACTCATGGATTTCTTCCCCCTTATTTTCTAAGCTGTTTATGAAATGTATAACGAGCATAGATTATAACATTTATAATAAGAAAAACAAGTCAAGGCCGGGCATGGTGGCGTATGCATGTAATCCAGCGCCATAGGAGGCTGAAGTGAGAGGACTGCCTGAAGCCATAAGTTTAACACCAGCCTGGGCAACAAAGCAAGATCTTATCTCTACAAAAAATTTAAAAATTAGCTAGGCATGTGGCATGCCATCTATAGTCCTTGCTACTTGGGAGGCTGAGGTGGGAGGATCACCTGAACCCAGGAGTTTGAGGCTGCAGTGAGCTATGATTTTGCCACTATATTCTATCCTGGGTGACAGAGTGAGAAAGGAAGGGAAAGAAAGAAAGGCAAGCAGAGGGGAAGGAAAGGGAAGAAAGGGAGAGAAGGGAGGGAAGGGAAGGAGGGAAGAGGAGAGGGGAGGGGAGGGGAGAGAAGGAAAGGAAGGGAGGAGGGAGGAGAGGGAAGGGAAGCAGTAAGGCAGGTCACAAGTTAACTTTTAAAAAATTCAACATATAATAAAAATTCTGTAAAGACCTGAAGTAGAAAACCACCTTAACACAGAAAGCAAATTCTGGAATACAGCTACCCAGTCATAAACCTGAGGCAGTGGAGCCCCAGAAAGACTGCAGGCAACTTTTGACTAATAGCTAGTAATAGGCCTTCATACCATATGGCTGATTAGAAACTTTAAGTCAAATAAAGTACCTAAGCAAATTTTCAAACCTTCAGAACTGGGGTTTATTTTTTTTATTTTAACATACTATGGGGGTAACAAGTGTTAAGGTTACATATATTGCCCATGCCCCCTCTCCCCCAAGTCAGAGCCTCAAGTGTGACCATCCCCAAAACATTGCACATCTCACACATTGTGTTTGTATATACCTATCCCCTCCTCCCCGCTCCCACCTGCCCGACACCCAATAAATGTTATTACCAAATGTTCACTTAGGTGTTGATCTGTTAATACCAATTTGCTGGCGAGTACATGTGGTGCTTGTTTTTCCATTCATGAGATACTTCACTTAGTAGAATGGGTTCCAGCTCTATCCAGAAAAATACAAGAGGTTCTATATCATCATTGTTTCTTAAAGCTGAATAGTACTCCATGGTATACATATACCACATTTTATTAATCCACTCATGAATTGATGGGCACTTGGGTTGTTTCCACAACTTTGCAATTGTGAATTGTGCGGCCATAAACATTCGAGTGCAGGTGTCTTTTTCATAAAGTGACTTTTGATCTTTTGGGTAGATGCCCAGTAGTGGAATTGCTGGATCAAATAGTAGATCTACTTGTATCGCTTTAAGGTATCTCCATACTGCTTTCCACAGAGGTTGAACTAGTTTGCAGTCCCACCAGCAGTGTAGGAATGTTCCTATCTCTCCGTATCCACACCAGCATTTATTGTTTGGGGACTTGGATAAAGGCCATTCTCACTGGAGTTAAGTGGTATCTCATTGTGGTTTTGATTTGCATTTCCCTGATGATTCGAGATGTTAAGCATTTTTTCATGTTTGTTGGCCATTATTCTGTCTTCTTTTTGAAAAATTTCTGTTCATGTCCTTTGCCCACTTTTTGATAGGGTTGTTTGATTTTTTTCTTGGTGATTTTTCTGAGTTCTAAATAGATTCTAGTTATCAGCCCTTTATTGGATGTGTAGCTTGCGAAAATTTTCTACCATTCTGTGGGTTGTCTGTCTGCTCTCAACAGTTTCTTTGGCTGTGCAGAAGCTTTTTAATTTGATGAGGTCCCATTTATTTATTTTTGTTGCTACTGTGATTGCCTTTGGGGTCTTCATAAATTCTTTGCCTAGGCCAATGTCTAGAAGAGTATTTCCAACATTTTCCTCTAGAATTCTAGTACTTTCACACCTAAGATTCAAGTCTGTTACCCAGTGTGAGTTGATTTTTGTGAGAGGTGAAAGGTGTGGGTCCTGTTTCAGTCTTCTACATGTGGTTATCCAGTTTTCCCAGCACCATTTATTGAATAAGGATTCTTTTCCCCAGTGTATGTTTTTGTCTGCTTTGTTGAAGATTAGTTGGCTATATGAGGATGGTTTTATATCTGGGTTCTCTGTTCTGTTCCATTGGTCAATGTCCCTGTACTTGTCCCAGTACCAAGATGTTTTAATTACTATAGCCTTGTAGTATAATTTGAAGTTTGGTATATTGATACCTATTTTGTTTTTATTGCCTAGGATTGATTTTGCTATACGGGATCTTCTCTGGTTCCATACGAAGTGTAAAATTATTTTTTCTATATCTGTGAAAAATGACGCTGGCATTTTGATAGGGATTGCATTGACTCTGTAGGTCACTTTGGGTAGTATAGACATTTTAACAATGTTGATTCTGCCGACCCATGAGCATGGTATATTCTTCCACCTGTTTACATCCTCTGCTATGTCCTTCTTCAGTGTTTCATAGTTCTCCCTGTAGATGTCTTTTACCTCCTTAGTTAAATATATTCCTAGGTACTTTATTTTCTTTGTTGCTATTTTGAAGGTAACTGAGTCTTTGATTTGGTTCTCACTTGTACTGTTGTTGGCATATATGAATGCCTCTGATTTCTGTGTATGGATTTTGTATCCTGAGACTTTACCAAATTCCTTTATCAATTCAAGGAGTCTCATGGTTGAATCCTTGGGGTTTTCTAGGTATAATATCATGTCATCAGCAAAGAGTGACAGTTTGACCTCTTCTGCTCCCATTTGGATGCCCTTAATTCCACTCTCTTGTCTGATTGCTATAAGCAAAGACTTTCAGCACTATGTTGAATAGAAGTGGAGATAGTGGGCATCCTTGTCTTGTTCTAGTTCTAAGTGGGAATGCTTTCAATTTTTCACCATTCAGTATGATATTGGCTGTGGGTTTGTCATATATGGCTTGTATCATTTTTAGATAGGCCCAATCTATGCCTATTTTGTTCAGCATTCTTATCATAAAAAGGTGTTGAATTTTGTCAAATGCTTTTTCTGCGCCTATTGAGAGGATCATATGGTCTTTGTTTTTGCTTCTGTTTATATGGTGAATTACATTTATAGATTTGCGTATATTGAATCATCCCTGCACCCCTGGGATGAAGCCCACTTGGTTGTGATGGATTATTTTCTTGACAAGCACCTGGATTCGATTGGCTAGGATTTTGTTTAGAATTTTTGCATTTATATTCATAAGGGATATTGGTCTGTAGTTTTCTCTTTTTGTTGCATCCTTTCCTGGTTTTGGTATCAGGGTTATGTTTGCTTCATAAAATGTGTTGGGGAAGATTCCACCCTTCTCGATGTTGTGGAATAATTTCTGCAGGATAGCCACCAGTTCTTCTTTGTAGGTGTGGTAAAATTCGGGTGTGAAACCATCTGGTCCAGGATTTTTCTTTTTAGGAAGGTTTTTATTGCTGTTTCAATTTCAGTACTTGATACTGGTCTGTTCAGGAATTCTATTTCTTCCTGGTTGAGCCTAGGGAGACTGTGTGTTTCTAAGAAATTGTCCGTTTCCTCCACATTTTCCAGTTTGTGTCCATAGAGGTTTTTGTAGTATTCATGAATTATATCTTGTATCTCCATGGCATCTGTTGTAATTTCTCCTTTATTGTTCCTAATGGAGCTTATTAGAGATTTTTTCTTTTCTGCTTTTCGTTAATCTAGCCAAAAGTGTGTCAATTTTACTCTGAACTTCATTTATTCTACCTGGGAAGATCAAAAGTCTAGTTTATCCCATTTTTAACAAGGGCAAATCTCAACTCCTCACAAATTTCAGATTTACTAGTTAACTGCACATTCTACCCAAACTGCCAGTCAAGGCAAATAAAGATACGAAGACCATGGTACCTCCACATAAGTCACAAGAAGCTGTTAACACTTTCCATTGATCCAATGGTGTTCAGATTATAATTGATATCTACCATCCAGATGTCTCTCAATGAGTTTAATTCCAAGTTTACAGCCCCTCCACATTTACCAAAAGCTCAGTTGAACAAAAAAATAATATTCAGAATTAAAGACAAAAGCATACCCAAAGTTCCATTATATAATAAAAATATATCGTTGCATCAATTGGAACAGATAGCATCCAAATCTTGTCACGTTGTGAAATTCGCCACACTACTTACTTTGCCAAATTTTACTGAATTGCAATTTGTCATGAGACCACTAGATTATGTTAAAGATTATTATAAGAAACAACTCACAAAAATGTACACTGCATCACAGATGCCTTTAAAGGATATCACTGATATTCCTTTTTGTGAAAATCTACCATAAGAGAAATGCCCACCTGATCTTTACTCAAAAACTGTGATTCTCATAATCAACTGCTCTTATGTCATAGATAGTAAAGTACATATTTCACAAGCTTTTTATGTGAGTTGCTACAGCACAAGGCTCTAAATTTGTGACTCCTTCTCAGTGTACACTGTTATTAAACTATGTTTTTAGCCTTACTCCTGGATTTACTTTTCCATCATTCTTTGTTTTTTTCTACCTCATTTAAACTCATATTCTTTCATCATACTTTAGACACCCTTTTGTAAGCAAGGCAGAATATAAATAATACAGTGTTTGATATTTTTACAGCTTGGTTACTATATTTCTGTATGCATTGCAATCACTATCTGGTGTTTATATACTCATTTTATATTTGTAATCTCTTTCCTCATCCTAACCACACTAGAATGTAAGCTTCATAAGTCAGGGACTTTGTTTCATTCACTGTTATATCCCCAGTATCTAGGATGGTGTTTGTATCTATATTAGCAATACTTGCAAAATGGAATGACCATGAAAACAGAACAGTTATATCTCATACCAATCTGTTACATAACAGAATTTTTCTTAAGTGAAAACTGACCTTCAGTCTACATGATCTTTGATGTTTTGCCATTAATCTGCCAGAAGTCAAGTGTACTTATAAAGATATTTCCATTATTTAGAAATTTTCTACAAACCCAAATGAATGATTGGTCCAAATCTAGACATTATTCCCTATGAAAATATTCTAAAATAAAGAAGAAGTACCATGTACAAAGATACTGATCAAATTTATCTATGATAGAAAAAATCTCAAAACAGTAAAATATCTAATAGGAAAATGTTTAAACAAATAATAGTATACATCCATATCAAGTTAATCATACAGCCCCTTAAAATTTATGAAGATTTTAATAACAAGGAATAACACAAGTGAGATATTAATGAAAAAATCAGAGAATAAAATAACACATACAGTGTGAGCCCAACTTAAAAAAATAAACAAAACAGAAAATAATGGAAAGAAACCAAAATACTATATATGTTAATGGTCTTTGCCCCAGAAATATTCAATTGACATATTTTTTTTCTGTTTTTCTAAATTTTATATAATAAACATATTTTACACAAAAAAGAGTAATTTTGGTATCCAGAGGTGATAAAACTAAAATCTTGAAAAAATTATTAATTTACTATAGGATAATAAGCACATTATTTGGAACATAAAATAACAAAGCACTACTAAGTGAAGTAAATACTGTACCTTCACTGCTACATGAAGTTTTGCTGTTTTCTTGGATGGTCCTGAGGCTTCGTATGTTGTGCCATCCACATCTACAGACATTGTGAAGACCGGGGCATGGACAGGGCCAGACTGAGATAAGAGCTTATATTGAAGCCCAGGCCTGATCTGATTTAGCCTCATGAGTGCATTCATAAGGTCTATTGCTTTACTATCCAAAACTGTTAAAGAAAGAGGAATGAGATCAGAAATTAAACAGAAAACCATTTTGCTTTAATCTATGCATTTGTAGATTCCTAGTAACCACTATAAATTCATCAGATTTCTTAAAAATAAGAATTTCAAAACACACAAATTAACTTCATGTCATAAGTAATTTGGAAAATTACTTATTATGCTATTAATAATATCACTGTAAAAATAGCATGCATTACTGTATCTATACATTAATTTTCATTTGTCAATAATAAAGTATCCTAAGCAATGAAGCTTAGAAATACAAAAAAAAGTAATTCAATTATCAACTTCTCAGCTAAGATCTATTGTTATAACTCTAATAAAAAGCAATCAAATTCTTCATTTTTTATTTTCATATTAATCCTTTCTAATTCACATCTATAAGAACAGAGATTTTGCACACTTTTCCTTAAGTTTCGTTTCATCTTCTTATTGGGATCTTTATCATCCCCTAATCCATCTTCAAATGGCCTCTTTAGAGCTGAAGACCCAGCACCTAAAAACAATTGAGAGATTCTTTATTAGTCAAAATAATAATCTTACTTGCTCTACCACATATCTAATAAGTTCAGGTAGGAAAATCTTAGGAATCACAATAAGGACCATATAACTTTTCACTGATCAATTAATTAAATTGCCATATTTATAATCTACAATAGCAAAATTTTAAAAAGCAAATCTTCTTGAAATAATTTAATATTATCACTTTTTATATATACTTATTTCCCATTTATTCATATACAGACATAAATATCTATGCATATACTATGGTCTGAATATTTGTGTCTTCCCAAAATTCATATATTGAAACTTTTTTGAGACAGAGTCTCACTCTGTTGCCTGGCTAGAGTTACAGTTCACCTCCTCCACAAACTCTTTCTCTCACATTACTCTCTGAAAGAGTTTCTATGGTATCAGAAATATAAAGTACTGTAGTTTTATATTATTGCTCATTTCAGATATTCTTAAGTGTCCTTAGTGTTCTTTGAAGATCAAAGATATTTTATCCTTGCCTTGCATCTTAGAAACTACCTTAAGACCAGACTTAAAAACAACATAATGGATATGGAGCAAAAACTAACTGAACTGATATTAATCAATTTCTTGGATAAAGTAGCCAGTTAATAACATTGTCAAGTGAAAGGCAGGAGCTTTGCTGTCCACGCTAAAAAATAGAGAAAAGCTCATCAATTTGTCCAAGTACTTACAAGAACACTCTGTGTCTTCGACTTAAAAAGTCGGTGTTAGGTTCTTCCTAAGGAAAGCTATGCTCAAGATACTCGTGCCACCAGATTCCCAGATACTTCTAGTGAAAGCTTTTAGTAAGAATGATGAGACTAACTATGTAGCTTTTGATCAAGATTTATTGTCCCTGGGGGTAAACACTGACTTCAGCATTTACTTGGGTCAATATTTACCACTCAGGTCAATCAATCTTGATGTTCTCTTCAACAAAAGGCAATATCTGCTTAGTATTGTATTTCATTTGCATTACATAAAACTACGAGTGTGCCAGTCTCCCAGAATACAGTCTTTAAGAGATAAAAGTTAAAAACAAACTATATCTATTCAACCACTCTTCTGCTCGTTAAGTTACATAAAAAGCAGCTCCTTGATTGCCTGCAAATCACAAACTAGGTTAAATACAACACAGGATCTATTCTCTAAATCTCTAAATCTGTGGTCCCCAACCGGTAGCAGTCCGTGGCCCATTAGGAACCAGGCCACACAGGAGGTGAGTGGCAGGCCAGCGAGCAGCCACCGAGCAAAGCTTCATCTGTATTTACAACCTCTCCCCATTGCTCACATCACCGCATAAGCTCTGCCTCTTGTCTGATCAGTAGCCACATTCAATTCTCATAGGAGTGCAGCCTAATGTAAATTGTACATGCAAGGGATCCATTTTGTGTGCTTCTTATGAGAAGCTAATGCCTGATGATCTGAGGTGGAGCTGAGGCAGTGATAATATAGGGGAGGGCTACAAATGCAGATTATCATTATCAGACAGGTTTGACAGCACAGTAAATGTAATGCACTTGAATCATCTCGAAACCATCCCCCTCCACCTGTCCGTGGAAAAACTGTCTTCCATGAAACCAGTCCCTGGTGCCAAAAAGGTTGGGGACCACTGCTCTAAATCTCCAGGTACATAAGTATCACTCCATAGATTAAACTTCATCCTACTATTCTAGCCATGGGAAAAGGACTGTAAAATCTGGGGCTAATAATAATAGTAATCTGCAAAAAAGAAAAACCACAAAAAACAACGTAAAGCAAGCAAATACTTTTCAACCTTTATAATATCTAGTAATGAAAAGTAATCATAACTGAGGCAACAATTTTTCAAAATAATTATTTTAGTGCTTACCATAGGCCTGGCACTATTCTTAGTACCCTAAATGTATAAACTTATTTACTCCTCATAAGCATCCTATGAAGCCAGTACCTTAATCATCTCCATTATAAACTCATTCAACAAGAAATACTAATTGAGCATTTACTATGTGCAGGACAATTTTAGGTGCTAAATATATAATCGGGAACAAAAGGATTTCCCTGTACTCAAAGAGCTTATACATAGTGGTGGAGATTAATTACAACACGTCCTATGGTAGTGAGTGCAATGGAGAATAGTAAGAAAGGCCTAAGGAGGAGGAACTATTGCTATTTTATAAGTGGTTCTCATGAGAAAAGTATCACTGATAAAGAGACCTTTTGATGAAGACTTAAGAAAGCAAAAGAGTGAACCATTCAGCCACATGGGGAAATGTTCCAGGCAGAGAAAACAGCAAATATAAAGATCTTAAGGCAGGAACATGCTAAGTAACAATATGAAGGCCTGAGTGGTTGGAGTGGTATGAACAAGGAGCAGGTGGGAGCAGATGAGGAGAGCCAGATATGTAAGGCAGTAGTTCTCAACTCTAGCTGCCATTAATTGACAAACTATCAAGATTCCACTTCCAGTATGGGAGACTAAGTAAATTTTTAAAAGGCTTCCTGATGGGAGCAATTAGAAAAGCTGGGCAAAATATAGAATAAATATCTGTTCCTAGACAATGAAGAATTATAGAATCAAGATCTGAGAGGTAAAGAAAACCCTGTATTGGAGGCCATATCGCCCATAGGGGCATCTTCCAAATCCAAAAGAGGTCACTAATAACTGAACAGAGGAATTCCAATAGATTCCCAAGTCTCAGGGGTCCAAAACTCAAGTTCAAGTACCACCAAGAGGGGAAAGCCTAGTGAATCCCCCACACTCTGGGTTAGGCCTCTGGAATGTTATATACTAGAAACAAAATAAAATGGAAATGCTATGAATATCACGGAAGACTGAAGCTCATCTTCAAATCATCTTAATCCCGAACTACATTAAAATGATCTATGATTACCAATTCCATTAGCCATCTCCCAGAAACAAATATAAATCCTCCCTGGAAGAAGATATCATTACTCTAGGCTTTTTCATTTAAAAACTCTAGTATTGATAATAACAAGGCACATGAGAAGACAAGATACTGTCATCAAAAATCAAGAGAAAGAGCAGACAACAGAAATAGATCCAAAAAGGATTCAGATGGTGGGGCTTTCAAAAATAAGCTTTATTATAAAGCATTTCTGGCAGAAAATCTGAAACTATGAAAGAGTCACAATTCTCTAAATAAAAAATACAATGCAATCAAAAACCCAGAAGATCTGTAAAGGAAAATGACAAATCTACACTACAGAGGAACTGACAGAACTCTCTCAGTAATTAATAACAAGCAAACAAAAAATATACAGTATAAGTATATAAGATCTGAACAACACAATGAACAAATGTGACCTGATATAAAAAGAATATGATCACCAACTGCAGAAAATATATATTTTTTCAGAGAAAAAAACAATTCATGTGTTGGTCCATAAAATAAGTCTCAACAAATATCAAAAAAGGATAGAAATCAAACAATGCATGTTCTCAGATGACAGAAGAATAAGTGAGAACTCAAAAACAAAAAAATTAACTAGAAAACCCTCATCTGTCTAGAAATTAAGCAATAACATCTAAATTGCCCATGGGTCAAAGAACTCGTAACAAAGGAAAATAAAAAAAATAGTTTTAACTAAATGATAATACTGATGTAAAAGAATGTAATATACATAAATCTGTGCTTAAAGGGAAATTTATCATCTTTATAGTATATATGATAAAAACACAAGGCTAAAAAAATCAAGAATGTATTCATCCATCTCATAAAGTTTAAAAAAAGAGTAGCAAATTAAACCCAAAGCAGTAGGAAGAAAAACTAAAGAGCAGAGATCAATGAAGTACAATATAAATATACAGTAGTTGTTTTTTGTTTTTTGGTTTTTTTTGAGACAGGGTCTCATCCTGCTGTCTAGACTGTAGTACAATGGTGCAATCATAGCTCAATGTAGCCTCCACCTTCCAGCCTCAAGCAATCCTCCTCATTCAGCCTCCAGAGTAGCTGGGACTACAGGCATGCATCACCATTCCTAGCTAATTTTTTTTAATTTTTTTGCAGAGATGGGGTCTCACCATGTTGTCCAGGCTGGTATCAAACTCTTGGGCTTAAGAGATCCACCCACTTTGGTCTCCCGAACTGCTGGGATTACTGGCCTATAGTCCTAGCACTCTGGGAGGCCGAGGTAGGCGGATTGCTGGAGGTCAGGAGTTCGAAACCAGCCTGAGCAAGACCTCGTCTCTACTAAAAATACAAAGAAATTAATTGACCAAAAAAAAAAAAAAAAAAAAAAAAAAACCTAAGTGTATCTGCCATTATATATCTATCCGAAGGAAAAAATACAAAATTAAAAGAGTGACTATGAACGCAGTGTATGAAATAAAATTTTCTGTTACTATACATAAGAATTTATATATATTTGAAATTTTTATTCAATCATTCAATTTACAGGCAATGCTTAATGTCACATGGATATGTAAATTCTTTTCAGTAATTACTTCACCACTGAGTGAACATGCTCTGGAAGAAAACAGCCTTCATGCCACAAACTTTATTGAGCACTACCTTTATAATAATGAAAGGGTAAAATCCAGAGTATTCCTTCCCCTGAGAAGTTGACAGTGTGAGGCAGTGATTCTCAAACTAAGAACCACTTTACACTCTTCAAAACTTATTGAGGACCCAAAGAGCTTTGCTTTGTGGGCAATATCAATCAATATTTAGCATATAAGAAATTAAAACAAAATTTTTTAAACATAAGAATATACTAGAAAACAGTCCACCAGTCATCAAAGCAATGATGTCATCACACGTCATATGCAGCCTCTGGAAAACTGTTCACTCATAAAACAAAAAGTGGAAAGGGTTGGATGCGGTAGCTCACGCCTGTAATCCTAGCATTCTGGCATTCTGCTGCCCAAATAAATAGACTGGGCAACTGTACTATTTTTGTCATATAAAAATCATAAGTAGAATAATTTCAATTGTTAAAGGTGGGCTGTATTCCAGGTAAAGAATATCTGGTGTTAAATATCCCACCTCTAATATAACAGGAGAGGAAGAGAATGGGGAGGGGGAAAATGAAATGTTTTTTGTGGCATTGTAAGAAAAGTAAGTGGATTCACATTTAAGCATCCATTGTATCCTAAGCACTAAGGCATTAAAAAAAAATACCTAACAATGGCCAATAAAGAAAGAAAGAGGGTAATTTCCCTACTGAGAGATAGGAACTAATTGCTCAAGGCCTAAAATTAGTAAGTAGTAGAGCTATGATTAGAACCCAGGTCATACTGACCCCAAAATTTACACTCTTTGTGCTGTAACTTTGAATTGAGATAGACTAGTACAAATGAAAGATGATCCTGAATTTTCCAATATGTTTTTCTCTTCCTCTATATTTTTGCTGTTTCCTTCTTATTACATAACATTTCTAAGCATGAGAAAGATCATCAAACTGATTAGTGGCAGTGATAATGTCTCCTCTTAGCTATGGTTTATCTCTTTTCCTCACACCAGGGGTTCTCACAGTATGATCTCTTAAGTCTTTGCAGTAATGGGATCTGGCTAACATAGCCAAATGAGTTGGTCACTAATAAAAATAAATGACAGCAATTGATGTCATTAATGGGAACAGATGAGAAGTCAGGAAGAAAAGCAATAAACTTTCTCATACATGACTTGAATAAACAATTACTGAGTTCCCTTAGCAATAAAAAGGGATGCATCCCATGACTATCTCCACCACTGCCAACCCCAAACCCTAATAAAAAAAACTTACACACTTACCTTCTTTATCAGAAACTGACCAGGAATACTTCTGAAAAGGCTTACTAGATGGAAGGGGGTCCATCTCCAGCACTTTATAAATCTGGCCAAAAGCTGACAGTCTGAGTGCATGCTGAAGAACAAAACATTATATTTAATCAAATTCAGTAACTATTCATATAGCTCTTAGGATATCTAACTAAAAAGACATTCATTAAATGCTGATATTAAGACAACAGAAGTCCCAAACGACATGCAAGAAAAAAGTGTTACAACAGAAAATAAGGTTAAGATAAGAAATCATGATGATATGCTGAGTCTTCTACCTGTGCACTGTGGGTAATATCTTCTTTTTGCTGGATGGTCATATAGCTCAGAGCATCTGTTGGGTCTCGCTCACAAGGATCATGAAGACCAGGACCCCCTTTGGCAAAGGCAAAACACAAAACCATCATTTAGAACTGAGTTTAGAATTTAGTAAACTAACACAAAAGAGGGAGAACAAAAAGAAAAATAACTGAGGAACTAAAAATCTGATCAATTAAGTCAAGTAAAAAGGACACTCTCATTTTCAATATGTTAGCACTTACATGTCCTTATTTTATACTGGAAGTCACTTGTAAATCTAAGATTGAAATTGGGTATTATTTTGAGAATTCAGAAATAGCATGATGAATCATCCCAAATTTTAAAGGGGATTACATATAGATAATAAGAACAAATTTAATTTTTTCAAATTTAAAACCAGACTACAAATAGAATGAACTTCATATATTTTAAACAAACATCTGCAATTTCAAATTCAGAGTTCAAGGTAAAGCAAATTCATGGCAGACACAATATCTTATTATAGTATTTATGTTAGCACACATAAAATACAAATTATAATTACTAAAAGAGTTTCATAGCACTTTTCCAACACTCAAACATTCTACCTGCTAAAATTCAAGCAAAATAACTCCTATGCATCATTTTCCTGTGCAGAGAACAGATTTAGCATATATTTAGAAATATAAAATGAGATTTTACTGATTCTTCTGCCTCTAGAGTTAAGAAACCCTTACCAGGAAGTAGTATTCCAGATGCCAAACACTCCATTACTCTTCTCAAGGCCTCCCCAGCGCCCAAAGGTCTATTACAAGTACCTATAGACTTTTCACATATAAGTTCTAGAGGCTAAAAAATATTAAATTACAAATTAGTACATACACCAAATGTTAAAAGGATTCCAGTTAAACGTGAACTAACATTTCTATCTAACAAGGGAGGCCAAAAAAGTGAAAGTCAATTTAAGATTTAGGGCCCACTTAACTTTTCCCCCATGATTACCAACTTCTACCCAAGCAAGAGTTTTTTGTGGGTTTTTTTGTTTTTTGGTTTTTTTCCTCTTTTCCTTTCCTGTCCAGCCTCAGAAAAACAAAAGTTCTTAAATTGAGCATTTCTGACATAATGTTTTCAAAGAACATTTTTGTAACAAACACTTTGTTTTCAGTTACCCAAAAAAGATCACAAAAGAAACTATAGTCATCTAATTCAGTTAAAAAAGACCTTACAAGCCTTCATACAAGTAATAGCTAGTAACTAGACAATGTACAAATCCAGCCTGCCTATCTGCCACTTAATGTAGCACTCAAACCACAAATATCTCAATATAAGAATAAGAGTTCATTTTAGGCAGCCTGTCCCCAAGTATTTAATACTACAATCAGAATAAATGAAGGACCAAATCTTCATATTCAATAAATTACAAATTCCTACTATATCAAAGTAATAATTGCTAGATTCATTTATAAAATGACCCTTCATGGCTTTATTTATTTATTTATTTATTTTGAGACAGAGCCTCGCTTTGTTGCCCAGTCTAGAGTGAGTACCCTGGCATCAGCCTAGCTCACAGCAACCTCAAACTCCTGGGCTCAAGCAATCCTCCTGCCTCAGCCTCCCGAGTAGCTGGGACTACAGGCATGTGGCACTACCATGCCCGGCTAATTTTTTTTTCTATATATATTAATTGGCCAATTAATTTCTTTCTATTTATAGTAGAGACAGGGTCTTGCTCTTGCTCAGGCTGGTTTCGAACTCCTGACTTCGAGCAATCCACCCACCTCGGCCTCCCGGAGTGCTAGGATTACAGGCGTGAGCCACCACGCCTGGCCACATGGCTTTATTTAAATTGCTTTATAAGGCTCTTAAGTTGTTGTCTCAATTCAGCCAGGCATAATTATTTCCTGATTAAGTCAATTTTACAATGTATATGTTGTAAATTATGTCCATAACTGCATGAAGCATACTGTTTGCCTGACCTTAATTACTAACATGAATTTATAAAGAGAAAGTTACAGAAGGTACAGGATTCATATACTGGCCTATTAGGTAATTTCCACTGTAATGGAAGTAAATACTGAAAGAGAAATGGGTCAGCCAAGGAGGCTTCTGTGGACAGCAGATGAACAGTTAAGTGATCAACCATCAGTGCAGAGTCAAGTGGAGGAAGACACTCACTTCTAAAAGGTATAATAAAAACCTTTTGTCAGGGAAGAAAAAAACCCTAAGGCTCTGTAACATGAATATGATGAGACAGAAGGGACAGATTATATGCCTAAAGAAAGAATCTGTGGTATCTCTTACCTGTAATCCTAGCAAGAGGATTACAAGGCAGGAGGAGCCAAGGCAGGAGGATCGCTTGAGGCCAGGAGTTCAAGACCAGCCTGAGCAACATAGCAAGATCCTGTCACTACAGTAAATTTAAAAAATTAGCCCTGTGTGGTGGTACATGCCTGTAGTCCTAGCTATTCAGGAGGCTGAGCCCAGGAGTTTGAGGCTGCAGTGAGCTAAAATAGCATTACCACATTCTAGCCTAGGGGCAACAGAGCAAGGCCCTGTCTCAAAAAACATGCTTAATTCTTTTTTCCAAGGCAAAAATAGATAACATATGCCTTATTAAATTCAGAAGATAATCATTTTACAGTAACACTTCATTTCTATAGGATTTCCTGTGCTATAGCTTCTTAATTTGCTTTTAGCCATATTGTAAGTACTTACCCATCCTTTTAATGGTGCCCATGTGGGGACTCTGTTGCACAAATCACGCAGAATTCGGAGGACAATTACACATGATTTTAATCCATTTGCCCTTGCCTAAAACAAACAAAATTATTCTAACATCCTTGTTGAAATTTATTCTTCATTTTAAGCACACTGATCATGGACAGGTTCTTTCAAGTGAATAGTAATTAGCAAGGCATTCATCAATTGTCAAGCAAAAAAAAAAAAAATCAAGTATCAAAGTAGAAAAATTGGGGTTTAGAAAGGCAGGTTTTTAAAATAAAAGGAGCATAATATTAAAATTGCTTTTGTAGCCCCATGGTAACCCCATTCCAGGCAACTTATCTATCTTTACTTTTTCTCACCCATATTATAAGCAACCATTTGAAATTCAGAATACTAAACCAAAAAAATTATGCGATTATAAAACATCATTAAATATAGAAGCTATATTAGGAAATTTACCTAAATTAACTCATTTACCCAACAACAACCCTATGAGATAGAAAGCATCCTCATTTTACACAACATACAGAAACCACTAAATGGCAGGTGTTCCAAATGACACTTATGCAAGGCTATAATAACAATAAGATAACAACAAAGAGCCAACCTGAAACCATTTGGCATGTCGAAGAGACGCCAAGGCATTTAGGCATTTCTGCCTGTCCAATAAGTCCGGAGGATCTTTCATCGAAACATTTTCTAATGATAAAATGGGATAAAGAGAGACAAATACAATTTGACCAAGGGGTTCCTGACAAATTACCAAACAATAAAAAAGTTTAAAATAACAGCATCTGAGTGAGCTTCCAGAAAATTTTATGATTTGACTTTGTTACTTTTTTTTAAAAACTATGTGCACTATGATTATTTAAGTAAACAGTCATTAGAGCAGTTCTGTGTACAAATACAATGAATAATCAAGGAATTCATTCAGTAAATGAATCAATGACCACTGCTGCTTACAATCTGGGACCTTACTAATAAGCACATTTAACATTACAGGGCACAAAATACACAGCACTTTTTCCTTTGGCAGGGTGCAAAGAGGGGAAATCTGGGACCAAGAGCAATAACAACTTTTTATAGAAAAAATTTTGATCATTGATCAGCTTTTAAGGAAAACTGGAGCTCTCTTCTGTATTAATCAATTTGAGATATATATATAATCAATTTGAGAATACATAGAGTATGGCAAATTTTTTTTCAACTAAATAAGCTCATTCAACAAGATAAGTGCTAACATTAATAGAAATTTTACCCTATGAGAATGAGAAGTCAAGTGTCACCCTGGAGTTCTCTTTATTTTCTAAACCAAAATTATTAAAACTACAAATATAATATACATTGAAATATATTTCAAGTTTATATACCCTTGTTTTGTAAAAGTAGCAAAGACTACTACCTAATCATGGCTATTCAGCTTGCCTTAACATTTTAAAGTTGGATTAGATAGCCCAAAGTAGCAAAATTAAAAATTCAAACATGTGATTAATGACAAATATCCATATTTGAGAAGATGTCACATGATACTAAATCCAAGTTTAGACAGCCAAATTTATCTCCTCTAAGCTGCTAGAATGTGAGCTTTTAAATTTTTTGAAGACTTGGTACATTATTTAAATGCATACAACATGCAAATATTTCTTGAGGAATATTTAGTCTAATCCAATTAAGTCAGATTTACCGTTCTTTCTGTTAAGAACTCTCTTAAATGTGAGCAAGTCCAGCAACACTTTTTTCCCAGTATTATCATGATAGTAATAGACTTGGTAACGTCTTTACGTTGGCCAACTGACACAATGTAAGTATTTTTAAGTGGATGACAAGAGCATTGATATTTTTTGGTTTCTTCAGTTATCAGAGGACCCTATTATGGCAAATTCAATGTTTGCTCTAATTGATGAAATATCATTAACTAAAACTGAAGACATACTGTCCAAAAGAAAACAAAACTATTTAAGCATGAATTATGGTTCTCTTTGCTGGCTACAGTACTATAAACGCTGAAGTGCTACATGCTTATTTTCTGACCAGGTGAGCTCTACAGCAGGTATTTGCATTGTTTCCCATTAATCTCTGCTAACAAAATCATAATGTAGGGTCTTATTACCCTCCTTTTACTCATAAAATTGGGAGGGTCAAAAAGGACTATTAACCTGGACTTATTTATAAGCATAAACAAATATACTATGGGTATTCACTAGCTCCTGGACTTGCCCAATTTTGTCTTTACAGTGATGCAAAATATACAACTAACCTGTTTCAATGTCAAAATGTTTAACTGTGCTCAATATAAGCATCTGTGCTATGGTCATGTACCAGATAAAACAAACTATTGTAAATGAATTAAAATCTCTTAAAAGTTAGAGAGAAGGTTGACTGCTAAGTAATATAATCAAAATAAAAGGTATGGCCAATGCTATATTTTTTAAGACTTCAATTTTTAAATTAACAGTAAGGCAAGCTAAGTTTTACTCTATCATCTTACCAACTCAGGATGTCAGGAAGAGGGAGACAATGGAAAAGGGAAGTGAGGCAGAGGAAGTTTGGATAGGAAAAGACATGGCAAACCAAAATTCTTTTTGTACTCTCTAATACTTTCTTCCAGGGGTCAGAGCTTGTAAATAACATCTTGCTATGGTTGTGACACAGACATTTTTAATGGGGGACAGTGACAAAAATAATTTGATAAACTCTTTCATCCCAAAGGCAGATTATAACCACAAACTCTTATAATGAAAAAAAAAAAAGAGAGAGACATCAGCCTGCTACACAGTCAACATTTGAAGACAATAGACTCTACTAAAAAGAGATGAAAGCGACAGGCAGTGAACAGAAGACTTGCACCCGATTTCTCTTTTATATCAGAATGGCCACGTTACTCCATGCTCTGACAGAAAGTCAAAAGATCCAAAATGTTTCAATATTCACAAGGTAGGAATATTGAATTCATCTCATTTTATCTTCTTCGAAGTTTTCTATATTAAAACAACATAAATTATATGGTAGAATGGCACTACTTATAAGCCCAGCTTGCTTATTTCCTTAATATACTTGATAATATACAGTTTTATATATTTTCATTCATTAAAAAAATAACTTCATTTAATGTGGCAATGACAAAAACTGCTGTTGGGAAAACACTGCTACTTCTGGTAGCAGAAACTAAAATTTAGTATTTCTAAAGTTTAATGTAGGTGGTTCAACTTCATGGAGAACCAAAACTTTTCTGATTTTAAAAAAAGAGACATTTTGGAGGGTTTTGTTTTGTTTTGTTTTTTTGAGAGTGGTTTCGCTCAGTCTCCCAGGCTAGAGTGCCATGGCATCATCATAGCTCACTGCAACCTCCAACTCCTGGGCTCAAGCAATCCTCCTGCCTCAGGCACTCCACCACACCCCAGTAGCTGGGACCACAGGCTAATCTTTCTATTTTTTGTAGAGATGGGGTCTCACTCTCACTCAGGCTGGTCTTGCACTCCTGGCCTCAAAGAAATCATTCCACCTCAACCTCCCAGAGTGCTAGGATTACTGGTGTGAGCCACTATACCCAGCCTTCTTGGCGTTCTTAATTAGAAACAACCAAACTGTGAGCCACTTCATTTTCTCCTAGAGTGATCAGTGAAACAGATAAAAGCATGGAGGCAGGGATAGGGGATAAGGGTGATGAAAACGACAAAAGCAAAGAAAAATAGCTTTTTTCAATTTTATTACTCAGTAACCTGGCATCAGGGCATGAAGGTACATGCAGCATTCTGAACAATGAAAGCACTGGAAAGAAGTCTATTATGATTAACCATGTTTATTTGGTTAGAGGTTAGATCAGTGACCAAATCACACCATACTGCATGAAATGTTGGTCAGTTTCTCTCAATGCTTTACATGCAAGCTAACTCTGCCCCCGTGAACAAAAATACTAGCTTGGAGATGGGGCCAACAAAAAGCCAAAACATGACTGTGTTAAATAGGAGTTACATGTCTGGAACCTGGGCTCTTCAAAGGTAAAATAATTAAGCTCAGTATGATGAGGGGCTCTCCCTGATAATCTAGACATGAAGATGAGCCACTGAGTTCATTCTGACAGAATTTTCTAGTTAGCCTGGGAATATCCTGGCACCCTCTTCTCTCTCAATTCCTTGAAGCTTTCTGGAGAGAAGATATTACGCCCCAAGGTACTGTCCATGCAAAACTGCAGGACACAATAATATGGACAGGTACCATTTTTCCCCGAAAATAAGACAGAGTCTCATATTTATTTTTCCTCAAGAAGACACCCTAGGGCTTATTTTCAGGGGGTGTGTTATTTTTTTTTAAGTACGGTGCAACAATCTACATTTATTCAAATATAGTTAAGTCGTCTTCTTCTGGAACATCATCATAACTCTCCAAACCCCAAATTCCATCCTGAATTTCTTGCGACTCTATTTTCTTTAGAACCATTGGCCCCAATCTCTCATGTCAAGCAATAGAGCTCTCATGGGGCAGATGAGGAGGGCTGCTCATCTTCTTTACCACTCCGAGAGGAAATGCATGGGTTGTGCAGATACACTGCATAGCCACACCCATCACTAGGTCCTATTTTCGGGGTAGGGCTTATATTGCACAAATGCTTAGAAATCCTGCTAGGGCTTATTTTATGAGTAGGTCTTATTTTCGGGGAAACACAGTAAATACAGCAATAAGGTAGAATGAGAGAGTACTGTTCTCCTAATGTACGTTAGTAATGTCACTCAGGATGACTTTTCTTCACTGGCAGAAGGCCACTAGAAAGATAATGGCTAAAAGTTTTCTCTGAAGAGTATAGATCTAGTAGTTGGGAAAGACAGGAAAATAAAGCCTGCATCATCATTATAATCCCAGTTGTGATCTCTGGACTGTAAGAAACTACTGCCTTGACCCTAGCAAGACACATGCTAGTAAACTTCTGCCAAGAAGAGTCACAAGTTCACACTGGTACCAATGTGAAAAGGGACCTGGGGCAACTTCTCTGTGAACCCCTGAAAATCCATCCCAGTACTAAGGAGAGAGGTTTGTCTTAATCTAAGCCACAACAATCTCTGTAGTTTCCCTAGCCACCTGGTTTCAAGTTATAAATACAATAAACACTTTGTCACCCCCTCAACGGCAAATATACTTCTAATTTAAAATCACAAGCACCAAAAGAAGCTGAGACTCTGTGTGATGCTCAAAATGACTAGATCAGCTAAACCACTCATGCACTAATCCCAGACAGTAAGAGAAGAGTGGACTGCATACTGGACTTACAAGACCTGGGTAAAATGTGAGATTTTCCTAGACAATATGCTGACTATGTAAATTCATTTATCAGATTTATGGGGGTGGGGGGGTTGATTGTCTACTATATATTAGGTATCATTCAAGGTGCTAAGGATAAAAGATAGGGAAAAAGATACCTGCTGTCAATGAATCATAAGCTACAAAATACACTAGCTTTTTATTATTAGTACTGTATAAATACATGATTCCAATACTACAGTGGGTATTTAAGAGTTTAACTGTGTTTAGGTTCAGTTCTTCAGACCTATCATGCACACATTATTTTCACCATTAACTGAAGGCAGTTTGAATAGGTGAGTTTGTGCTGTGAATCTTTAATAAGCTGAGTGACCACTTTGTGCTAGTTATTGTACAAGTCAATTTACATAAATTCTCTCAGTTAACCTCAAAACAACCTTTTGATGTATTTTTGATCCACACTTTAAAATGAAGAAACTATTCAAGGTCACATAGCAATAGTAACTAATAGAGTTAAGACTCAAACACAAGGCTACTGCACACCAAGGTCTGTGCTTTTTCTCCCATGCCTTCATCAGCAGGAAACATGTAGCAATGAGAAAATGGTTATTCTCCAGGGAATTTAAGTAAAAGATTACAATGTAGAAGGAAGACTAACAGCATAGGAGGAAACTTACATGAGAAATAGTAAACAATATCAAAGAGATTCACTTACACTTAAAAAAAAGAATTTACACTTAAAAAACGAGATAAAAAAAAAAGAGAGAGATTCACTATGTACTCTGGCAATTTAAAAGCTAAATGGTGATTTGAAATGAGTTAGAGCCACTTCTGCACAGACAACCCTGAGAAGATATGTTTGATGCTCTAACTTGCCCCAGTCCTCTGGTTCTGCCTACTCTTGCTATGCTTTTTTCTCTTTTTTTAGATTTTACCCAAATATATGGAAAGTAAGAAAGGGAAGAGAAATACATGAGATGAGTGTGTATTGTGAATAGTTTGTATAGCTGTGAATAGTTTGGATGGGGTGAAGGGAAGTTGAGATTCTACAGGAAAATGTCTCTAAGAAAAAAGTTGTATGGATATTTTGTTTAACTTTGAGAAAGAAAATGAATAGCAACTGAAAAAAAGGGGTATCTTTCAGTCCCCAGAAATCCCTGGAACCTGAATGAATCTTGTACTTCCATCCCATGTAGCAGAAAAGAATTGTATCAAGGAGATGAGGAGGTGTATAGTGTGAGAAAACAGAATTGTATAGCCCAGGTCTCAAATGCTCAAGTATATACTAAATCCTCCAAGATGTCCAGGAATACACAAACTGCTAGCAAAAAAACAAAAATCTGTCTTTGACAAAGCCCAGGTTAGACTAAATGAGCATATTATAAAAGATAATCAAGTGAGTCAACAAGGCTGGGATGTTAAGGACAACAGCAAAGCAAATCTTTCTGCCATTCAAAAGGAGAGAAAGTAAGATGTATAAAACATTAGATCCAAGCCGATTCCTTCACCTTACCTGATCCCACGTATCAGCTGACCAGATTCAGCTCATAGAGGTCTTTGGATCCTTTAGTAACTAAAACACCTTGAACACAAACTGTGACTCTCTTATCACAAATTCCATTCTATAATAGTGTTCTAGCAAGGGTACAATACACTAAGAATCTGTTTTCAGCTTCTCCAAACAGAAATTAAAGTAATAAAGGCAATAGACTAAGCTTAAAAGTATCTCTGAAAGCTATGACAAAATCCCATGTAAGATAAAAACCACAGGAAAAAAGAATCCTAATGTTCCCTTAATACTTTCAAAGAAACAATTTGAAGGGATGCCGACAGGTACAAGCAAACATAATCGACCTAGTCTTCGGCAATACACTTCAGTCTTTTTCTCATCTCCCTAAACTCAAATAATTCTTAATAATACCTGTAATTACAACTCTACTTAGAAATGGTTGGTTTTATACTAGAGGGTCAAGTAGAACACAGCTTACCAGAATTAACATTTATCTTGACACTTCAGAAATCATTTTATAGTTCTACAGTTAATGGTGAACTGTAAAGCTGTTAAAAAAATTAAGTCATTTAAGATCGGTTCTTCAGAGGTGCTATAGATACTATACACAGCAAAAAAATTTTGAAATGTACAGGTATAAACCCAATTATAGATTGGATGAACTTTGATTTTAAAATATGACTCATAAATGTGTCTGGTTGACATTGGGTATGATATAGCTTTAGTTACCCCAAAAAAATTTTTTAAAAGGAATCTATCACTTTTACTTTAAGTGATCTTATGAGTCCTGTCTCGCAAAAATCAAAATTCTAATTTCACTGGTAAATGTACCTTTTCCTCTACTCTTATCACCAACTTGAAATAAACTAAGAAACTAACCAATATTTCTTACTGCACTGGTATTTCCAGGTAGGGGAGTAAGCAATGGGACCTGTTGAAAGTCTAGTGATAAAAATAACAACAGGGAGTCCCCACTGGCCCAGATAGGCCACACTGCTTCTAAATTGTCACGACAGAGTAGCCAGTTATTCAAAGGTTTGACACAGGAGAAATATCGCAAGGCAAATCTCTAAGGACAGGACTAATCAGCAAAAACAAGCTAACTTGACAGGATAAAAACATCAGAAAAAGAAGCCCACAACTCCATCATTACTTCTCAAAACTACTGACAATTGAGTATTTCCACTCTACTTTTATGGGGATGATACTGCCATATGGTAATTCCTTTTAACTTCAGAAGAAAATTAGTTTAAAGGATGACGCTCAGATAAATCATATTCAAAATGTTAACAGGGTCGCAAACCTCCTAAAAAAGATTATTCACTGAAGAAAAAAAAAATCCCCCAATTTACAGCCCTTACATTATAAAACAAATCTACATATAGACAACTAAGTAAAGCATAAAACTTACAAGAATATATAGTTATCAGAAGTCAAGAACAATATGCAAAGTGAGTAATTTTGAAATAAGTGAGTAAATCTGAAAAAAATTCTGTTGGGCCACATTCAATCCTAAAATCTGACCATTAAGCCAAAATACACAGAGTAAGTTGGCTGATACCAATAATTTTATTAACGCAAACAGTACACCAAAATGTTATAAAAATTAAAGCAAAGTTAAGACCATCATGATAAGCACAGGTTTTTGAATTTAAATATTTTATATTTTGAATTTATACATTTTTATAAAATATACTCATTATATAGAAACAAAGCTATTTAAAATACTATAGGTGGCATAAAGCAAATAAAGACTATTATTTCCTAAATCCACAAAGCACAGTTAACATAGCATTTAAGAGAGCTTTTACATGAACAAAACATACATATATATACACATACACACACACACACACACACACGTGTACCTCCATCCTTCTTCTCCAATTCGTCTCTAATTAGAGGGGAAGTAAGTATCACCTTCAAAGTTAGCGTGGGCTCTTTTGTATTCCGAATTATAATAGATGCCTCATTTACACACTGTTCCACTTGATATTTCTCTTCTGTGAGTTTCTGAAAGTGACCAAGATTTCAAAAATACTCAGTTATACTGAAATCTCAAAAAAAAAAAAAAAATGCTTACACTAAGTTCTCAAATGTTATTAACTACTAATATTACTGTGCTGAAAGGGCAAACAAAGCCCGTAACTAGTTCTTTAGTTTGCGGATAACACATGTCTCTCCTTCCAACTTACAGGCAAATCCTCATTCTCCATCCCTCAAAAAGCAACCACAACATCAACCAACCATACAATTATGAAACAATATTTAAAACCATTCTTTCTAATATTTGAAAGTAAAATGCCAAGAGCATCATTATGTGATAAATGGAAATTATTGTTCTTGAAATTATTACAGAGAACTATTATAGAATAATAAATAGCTGAAATGCCCTCTAAAACAATAGCTTTTTTGATAGAACAGCCTAAATAGGAACTCCTACTTGCCAAAAACTCATGAATATAAGCTTATGTAGATTTATAAAGCGAACTGAGTAAGCATGAATGAAAAAGGATCTCTGCAGCACACTCACCAGCCAAAAAAAAAGTATAAACAAGTAACTTCTTCCCTTCTCTGACATGACAACAGGTCTCAAAGATTTTTCCAATGAAACTTATTATGGGATGAGTTGTCTGACATCCACAGGGAAACCTACATTGCTTCTTTTAACATACAATTATAAACATACAATTTAGGGGCCTTCCACAAAGTAAGTACCCAATTAGAATCATATATTGTTATATTTAATATGTTTTTATACATTAAATGTATGATTTAATACATTACAGATTTTTCTTGGTGGTGAAATTTAGTACCTATTACCCAACATAAAATAGCCAGTCTATTATAGTATGAGACACTACTAGGTCTCTGCTCATCAGTGTGTAGTAAAAGAACTCAAAAGTCATTTACATAAAAATAGCATTTTACCATTAAACAATCCCAAAAGGTAGGAAAAAGAAATTCATTATTCTCTTGTAAATAGAGGAAGCCAAGGAAGGAAAAGGCCACACAGTAAATGGAAGAACCAGAATCAGAATATAAAGAAACAAAAGAAAACTGATCATGTTCATTTTGTCACTAAAAGAGCATTAAGAACATCTACCAGAAAATAAATCAAACTAAATGTTTCAATTATGTATGCAGATTACCATAAGAAACATGCAAAGTAATAAATATATGATATATGATTTGAATTAGACTAATTTTAAGTGATTTCTGATTTGGGTTATCCTCATCCTCCTTTGCTCAAAGAAGTTCTAAAATCACCCTAGAAAAGAATATGGAGAGAAATGGTATGGCACAACCTTAATTAGCTAAGGTACTTGGATAACAAAGTTTTGTTATGTTAGGTACTCAGGAAAAAGATTTTTAATCTATAAGAAAATAAGATCATATCAGAGACTGGTTTTACATACAAACACCAAGACAATGGAGGAGAAAGGATATAAATCTGGAAGTCACGCTTAAAATAATTTCCTGAAATATTATTAGGAATAATAATGTATGTGTGCTTGTGTGTTTATATGTGGGCATGTGTGTACACACATCTATTTTAATGTAAAATTGGTATACAATTATCATCCCCATTTTACAGAGAAATGTACCTTTACCCAAACATAGATTCACTATTGGAGAACTCTATTGGCTGTGTTAAATTGAAATACATTTCTCATAATTTCCACCATTGGTCTTAAGAGTTCATGTCTCTCTTACCTTCTATAAGTCAGTATTTGAAAGACCTAAAGATATTTATATCATTTTTAGTCTTTTCTTCTCTACCTTAAAAAGCCTCAGTCTTCTCAAATTTGAGATGGTTCATACAACCTGCACTCTCTCCTGGATCCCTCGCTTGAATACTTGCTAGACCAGACAAGAACATTTTAAAACTGTGGTGCCCAGAAATAAAGACCCTCACTCAAGAGAAGAATAATGTAAAGCTCACACAGCTCTGATCTGCACGGAGAAAGCTCTTTTAATACCAACTGAAGTTTGGTCCAATCTTCTGTATCTCCAAAATGGAGAGACATGATAGATTTTCAAAATGAGAACTAATTTATTATAGCACTAGTTATTAACCCTTTTTCCACCCTGACACATCTGAGGATGAGGAATATGACCACTCTCATAAGAAACAAGACTCACTAACGGAACAGAAAGGGGTAAGATGGTTGAAAAAGCCTGTAATATGTCTGACCCTTTGATTATGACTTTATTATAGATTTAAGAGTAACAATGTTCACTATACTAAAAGCAAAAATACAGATTAAATTTTAAAACAATACAAAAAAATGAAGAGGAATTCTATTAATAGTCTAACAAGCAAAAAGTATAGTTAGCCAGAAATCCTGTTACTACGCTTTTTATTTCATAAAGCTTTATTATATTCCATGTTGCTTACCACTCTACTTCCCCAAATGATCACAAAGGAATAAAGACAAACTGATATGAAATTATAAAAAAAAACCTGTAATCTAATTAGACCACAGGTAACACGTATCTGAAATTGAAAGATGATAACAGATTCCCCATCAGTGATGCAACTGGCTGACAGGGTAGGTCCTAGAGTGACCAGAGCCCCATACTGGTTGCCTTCAACCCTAGAAATCTTCAGTCTTCAGCAGCATCCTACTGGGAGCATGCCAACTTAAATTTTCCTAAATGCATCACTATGTGAAAAAGGTTTGGAGACAAGGAATTAATAGTGACTTTCCACTAACAGAATGAATAGATGACAAATTAACTGAGTCTTCAATTTTAAAAGTTATCATTTACGAAAGTCTCTAGCTGTTTAGGCTCTTTTTGATCTTTTAATTCTTTTTTGCATTTTATCAACCCTTCCAAGAGCTTTATAATGCTGAGAAACCTAGTCTGGAAAAAAATGAAGACTCTCAGCAAAATACACCTGAAAAGTTTAAGACTACCCTAATGGCCACATTAATTTGATAAATATATCCTGAGTACTGATCACCAGAAGTTTCCTTAAAATGTGATTGATTAGTCACTGACTCAGAGCAGCAGTATTTCTTTTGTCTGTGCCTACCCTTACCATTACCAATTCTTGCTAATAAATTGAAGGTCACGATCTATTTTCACCTTTTCACAAATTCACCTAGAGGTTCAGTTAAACTGTACTCACCTGAATCTGAATAGGAAGGTTATCTTTGACTGTATTTAATAAGGTTTCTGTGGGTTTGTCTTTGCACATTAAAACCAGCTCCAAGTCCATATCATCTTTAATCAGCAAGCCTTTTGCAACCAGGCCAATCCTCATTACACCACACAATGTCCGACCACCTTGATCCCTAAAAATAAAAGTCTGCATGATTACTTTTACAACGTATTTCCCAAACTATAACTTAATCATCACCTGGCTTCCCAGATAACCATATTAATTGATAAGAGAGTATTATAAATCTAGATATCCAAAATCAGAATTAAGTCTCCAATTTAAGGCTCATAAAGTATCTACTGTCCCCCACAGATTCAATAGGGAGGGGATTTCAGACTATAGATCTTTAAATTTTTTACTACATCTATCTTGCTGAAGAAAACCAAAATATATTGTATCCCCTTTAACATTGTTTCAAATTATCCTTTTTTCTGCTGTTATTTTTTAGCAGTAATTTAAAAATTTGTGAGAAACATGAACACCATGGTATACTGAGAAAGAACATCAGGGTAAAAATCTAAATGACCTGGATTCTACTAATAGTGGTGCCCGCTGGCTCAGTATTCACAATGGTCAAATGCCCATTGGCTAGATGAGCTAAGGTCATCTAGTTTTATCATTCTAGGAATGATAAACTCCTAATTTTATCATTCTAGGAATCCACAAAAGCTTATGGGGAAAGCAGAAAAATGTGACTAAAGAGTTGAGGAAGGAGGCCGGGCGCGGTGGCTCACGCTTGTAACCCTAGCACTCTGGGAGGCCGAGGCGGGCGGATTGCTCAAGGTCAGGAGTTCAAAACCAGCCTGAGCGAGACCCCGTCTCTACTATAAAAAATAGAAAGGGCCGGGCGCTGTGGCTCACGCCTGTAATCCTAGCTCTTGGGAGGCCGAGGCGGGCGGATTGCTCAAGGTCAGGAGTTCGAAACCAGCCTGAGCAAGAGCGAGACCCCATCTCTACTATAAACAGAAAGAAATTAATTGGCCAACTGATATATATAAAAAAAAAAAAAATTAGCCGGGCATAGTGGCGCATGCCTGTAGTCCCAGCTACTCGGGAGGCTGAGGCAGAAGGATCACTCGAGCCCAGGAGTTTGAGGTTGCTGTGAGCTAGGCTGACGCCACGGCACTCACTCTAGCCTGGACAACAAAGTGAGACTCTGTCTCAAAAAAAAAAAAAAAAAAAAATAGAAAGAAATTAATTGGCCAACTAATATATATATATATATAAAAAATTAGCCAGGCATGGTGGCTTGTGCCTGTAGTCCCAGCAACTCGGGAGGCTGAGGCAGTAGGATTGCTTAAACCCAGGAGTTTGAGGTTGCTGTGAGCTAGGCTGACGCCATGGCACTCACTCTAACCTAGGCAAGAAAGCGAGACTCTGTCTCAAAAAAAAAAAAAAAAGAGTTGAGGAAGGAAAGATCAGACCAAAGATAAACATATGTATATGTTTATAAACGTATGTATATGTTTATATACCAAAGATAAATATATGTATATGCCAGTATATGTATCCGAAATCCAGGAGTAGCTAAAAGAGCAAACACTCAAAAAACATCAAATTGTGAATAGTGCATGAGAAAAATGTTCATCTACCCTTGATTTTAATTCTGAAAATTTCTTATTGGTTCATCTCCTTTAATCACAAATAAAAATATTAACTAAACTTAGCAGTCATTCAACAAGTAAGCAAGTGTTTGAGTATGGAAAACATACCAAAGAACATACAATCTCTCCTGCAGCTTACCCTGTAGTTAAGCAACAAAAGCAATTAATAGTTTATGTACCCTGCATAAACGGGGAAGAGAAAGTAACCTCTGAGAACAAACTGTGTGCCATATATTCTCATTTAAAATCTCACAATAAGCCTCCACTTGGAAGAAATATGAACTTCAGAAAAGTTAACTGTTCAGGTTCACAAAGAAAGTAAAGCTTAGATTCAAACCCAAGTTGGTTTGACCACAACACTAAGGTTCTTTACATCATATGGTTGCTTCCCAAGTTTAGAAAAGGCAGTAGTCCAAATTAGAGATGTCAGGCAAGGCCACCTGAAAATTTGACTTCAGCATAGTCTTGATTTAGCTAGATGGAAAAAGGTCATTCTAGCTAGAAGCAAAGAATCAGCAGAGTTGGGCAATGATCAGCAAAGTTGAGAATCGAGTAGAGAAAAAGAGAAACAAATTGTGGCAGTGGAAACTAAACAGGTAGTTATAAATAATCCAGCCACAGGTTCAGTGCCTGGCACACCTTGAGGATTCAATAAACATTAATCAAAAACTATAAAGATGGTATATGTCCATGTAGGCAATTATCCAATATTAAGAATAAAGCCAGTCATCTGATTCTCTCTTGCTCTGTATTCCTGTCCCATCATCCTCTCAAATCTAGTACACTGTAATGGTTTATATTAATAAATTCCTCCTTAATAATCACCCTTAAACCACTGCCTTCAAACCAGTTTCTTCAGGCTCTTATTATCTCTCAAGTAGATGACCTCAATAACCTTCTCTTCATTGGCCTTACTGACCAAACACTGTTATCTCCAACACACTGTATACAGTATATTACAACTGGAATAATCTTCCAAAGGCACTGCCTAGATGGCACTCCACCTACTATTTTCCTTGATGTCCCACTAAACACGTAGACACTTACCATATAGGGAGGCAATTTAGAAGGCAGCATGACTTTCTGGTTCAAATACTGGCTCTGCCACTTACTATGTAACCATTGAACAAATTACAAATTACTTGACTTCTTTGAACCTGCTTCCTCATTTGTAAAATAGGAATACTACCTTTCTCACAGAGTGGTACTAAGAACATAATTTAAGTAATGAACTTTGCTCAGAGCCCAACAGATATTAATAGCACAATAAACAACAGCTATTATTCCTTAAACCAATCCTATACCTTCTCACACCTAGATCTTTGCTGAGATTTACTTTTTCTTACACTTTGACTACCTACCAAAATCCTACTCACCTGTCCTCTGAGCCTATTCCAAATGCTATCTACATCATAAAGCTTTTTCTGATTCCCAGAACCAGTATATTATCTCTCTCTGCTCTGTACTTATACATTTTATTCACAGGAAATTGAAGCACAGATGCTAAGAAAACTCGATCTGGAGTTAGACAGACATGAATATGAATTCTGGCTCTACCATGCATAATTACTCAGTGACCTTAAGCAAGTTAAAGTTCATTAATGATTCCCAATCACTTTTTTTCATATGTAAATTTGGAGAAGAAATTTCATAAGTAAAATGGGGGTGGGAAAAGGAGAATAATAATAATAATAGAGATTAGTAGGTTTGTTAGAAGATAATGTGAAAAATAATCTGGTATAATAGCTGGCACTCAATAAATGGTAGCCATTATTAGTTAGCCATTATTGGCTCAATTATTCAATTCTAAATCATAACTGTTCAAGTTAACAGAGAAAGTAAAGCCTAGATTCAAACCCAAGTTGCTTTGCTCACAATTAGGTTGTTTACACCATATGGTTGCTTCCCAAGTTCAGAAAAGGCATTGGTCCAAATTACAAATGTCAAGCAAGGCAACCTGAAATTTTTACTTCAGCAGAATCTTGATTTAGGATAGACTCTTAACACCTCACATTTAGAGAAACTAAGCATGACTGATCAGAGAAACTAAGTCCTAATTCAAACAGTCCTGAATCTGAATAATAAATTTGAATACAGCAGTTATTGTAAAGCAAGGACCCAATGTATTTTAATTTACTATATGTGCATTACTTAAAATTAAAAACAAAGTCTTAACATTCCTAATAATACAAATTGTAGGACCTTGTACAGTTTATTTGACTTTTGAGTCAGTTTGTAAAAAGGTAAAATAATAGGTTAAAATAAGAGAGCAAAGGTAAAAGCTGCCTTACAGTGCCTGGCAATAGAAAGTACTTAATAAACACAAGGTAGCCCTCACCCATCTTTGTGCCTTTTAGAACATATGTCTATTACCAGAACACAATTCTGTTCTTTGAAGACATGCCTGTCTCTGTTTTACACAAGATAAGAATCATTCTATATTCCTTGAGTTCCACTACATGGGAAGGATCATAGGCAAGTGCTCAACCAGGGACTGTTCCACATAACGGAAAGACTTTACATAGACAATCAACAGCATCCACACATAGAGCTATATTTAAAAATCCAAATGAAAGTATAGAGCATATCATCCTTTAAAAAAACCTTTAAAGCACAGTGACCTCATCCAGTTAATCAAGTCTATAGGAATATGGGAATACTTTCCAAAAGTACGCCAGACTTGAGAAGAAACATCACGAGAAAATGTATTAAAAATGGGTAAAAAAAAAAAAAAATAGGAAGCCTTATGAGAGATATACATATCTCATATATACGTGTGTGTATATATATATATATCAAAGATATACATTTATTCCAACCATAGTGACAACTGCTCAAAAAAACAATAACTAAGCTTAGCATAGCATAAAAAGGTTCTTAATCTGACTCAAGTTACCATTTCAGCTTGATCTCACTAATCTCTACTATTGCTACAGTATTTAGAATACACTACTATAATTGTAGAGTCTGGCTCCATTGAAACCTTCATTCATCTGACAAATACATGATGAGCATTTACAACATGCAAGACATTGTGCTAAATTCCTGGAACCAACAAGGCAGATACAGTTAAAAAAAAAACCAAAAAACCTTTAAAATATATTTCCTACATCTTTTTTCTATATTAGGATTTTTAAATGCCTGACAAAAATGTATCTTATGATCTCCCCACAGATCAAAAACACTGTTATTTATTTCAAAATCTAGGAAGCAGAACCAACACAGGAAAAAGATCTTATATCATAACCTTCAAACATAAAGGACTTAATATACTCTCACAAAAGGAATCCTAAACAGTTCTGTCTTCTTTTTTCCTGGCTCTAATCATTATTCCTTTCTTGCTTTCCTTTCACATTTAACTCAGAAATATTCCACTTAGCATTTACTTCTTTGGTTGTAGTCATTAATTGAGAAGACCCAAATAAATATCATATCACAAACTCAATCCAGCAGGACCCTCAAGCTTTGCTCGGCACTCAAGTACAGCATCACAAAGGTCATTCCACACTCACTTGGAATAAGTTTCTCCAGCCTCATCTTTCTTTCCTTCTGTCTCACCCTCTGTTTTTGTGCCTTTATTTGTTTCATCCAACCAATCTGAGACATGTTTAAGAGCGCATTCAACAGTGGACACCATATTCTGAACAGCTTCAAGTTCCTCTGGAGATGGATAGATTGTTGAATGTTTCACCATAACATGGCGATCATCATTGGCAAAAGATCGAATAGATCTCTGTCGGAAGGAAAAAGAAAACAATTACTTCAACAAAAGAACCACCACCTGAAAAGGATGACATACAAATAAATGTATTTTAAGCCAACTCAGAACATTAATTGTCAAACCATTGTGAAATAGTTAATGTTGAGACAATAAAAAATTGTTTCGGAATGGGAATTAAAATCACATTCTATTGAACTTCACACCAGAAAATTAAAGCTTTCATTCATGTTTTGGTAAGGTTCACCTAGGTCACACTCGACATTATGTATTATGTATCTTTTAGCTGAACCTACGCATTCTGAATACCACTTCAAAAAAGGTCATCATACCATACAACATCTGCAAGAAATTTCCTAGCTTTAAACTTTCAACTTCTCTAGAAATGCATGATGGTGACTCATGATACCCAGCCACTCCTTTCCAAACTGCTACAGACTTTAGCACCTTAAAAAAAGTGGTATTTCATAATATGGTGTAAGATACTGGGCTATAAGGACAATGGACACCTTCCAGCTTCCGTTTACTGCTTGTTTGCTAACCACAAGGCATTATGAGTACATTACGGGATGCAGAGGAAAAAGACAAAGAACGCGGAAACCAGAGTCTCTCAGCTAGGACCCAAAACAGGTTAGAGCCTATCAGGGGCACGATGAAGTAAGAATCACTGTGGGGGCGGATGCAGGATCAGTGTGTAAACAACTTAGTTATAAAAGGGTCACTAGCACACAAAGGAGGGTCCCTGCCCGAAGAAGAGGCCACTGCACTGGCACTCTGGGGGCTCGGACCCTAGCTCGAGCTAGACGATAAAACTCCTTTTGATAATTACAGCCTCGGTGACTCTGTCTCTCTGTCCTGTGGCCCTGCGAATCTCAAATATAACAACAGTAATAGTACAAAATACAAAGTTGTGTGTGAATACTATAAGAAAACTGAAAAACACTGGAATAGTGTTTACTATCTGACATTCAAACCTTTAGTTCAATTTGGCCTTAATTTTTAAAATAGATATTGGGAATGACAGTGGATCATTGAATGAAAAAGGACAAAAAATAAATTTAAAAAAAAAAAAAGAAAAAAATTTAATAAAAAAAAATTAAAAAATTAAAAATAAATAAAATAGGGCCGGGCGCTGTGGCTCACGCCTGTAATCCTAGCTCTTGGGAGGCCGAGGCGGGCGGATTGCTCAAGGTCAGGAGTTCGAAACCAGCCTGAGCAAGAGCGAGACCCCGTCTCTACTATAAATAGAAAGAAATTAATTGGCCAACTGATATATATATAAAAAATTAGCCGGGCATGGTGGCGCATGCCTGTAGTCCCAGCTACCCGGGAGGCTGAGGCAGAAGGATCACTCGAGCCCAGGAGTTTGAGGTTGCTGTGAGCTAGGCTGACGCCACGGCACTCACTCTAGCCTGGGCAACAAAGCGAGACTCTGTCTCAAAAAAAAAATAAATAAATAAATAAAATAGATTAGCAGGAGACATTCCAAATTCCAGAATGGGAATAATATATATTACAAAACAATCAAATTCCCAACCTAATGTACAAATACATTCTCAATCAAAAATCTCCTCAAAGTTGATTTACTTAAACCTCAACAAAAGTCATTTTAAAGTTCATATGGGGTAAAAAACATGAACGATAGTATCAAGAAATATTCTAAAAACATGGATGGGTGGTTCCATTGTACTAAAACCAAACATCAAAAAATTTTTAAAATAAATAATTAAAATGACATGCTGGCCCAGAAATTAATAGCGTAAATTAATGCTTAGAAATAGAATGAATTTCACAAAAATTTAACATAGTAGATCCTTCACACTCATAAGTTACACATCCCAAAACCTTTGAGTATTTCCAAATTTACTAATATCATAAGGATACTTGTACTAGTACAGAGCAAAATGAATAAGTATAACTAGGTGAGTGTTCCATAAATACTAAATTATTCCCTTTAAAGAGTGGTTACAGTGTCTTTATCTGAAATTATGTGTACAAGGTAAATATTTTGAAGTCCACTGAAAACTAAAACATTTGCAATTCTTTATAAACAGCCTTGCCTCTTTTGTTTTTGAATATCAATGTTTAAAAATCATACTATTTTGGATACTAGTAACTTAACATTACAGTGTCACTGTCCCCTATAAAGTAAAGCAAATTTTAACTGACAAAGTTAGTAATCCTTTGAAAAACCTCAATCATTATATAAATATAGAGCTAAAAATCAATCAGAAAGCTTTCCTTGTTCTCAATAAAAATCATCTGTCTAACTTTCTTTCTTACTAGACATCCATAACTAAGTTTCCAAGTGGAGCCTTTTGCCACAAAGAAACAAACTTTTTAAGCACTTTATGAGATGTTCTCATGACCCAAAACAAGTCACTAGAAAACAAAAGAGCCATATAATGAGTTGAAGATGCTAGGTTGTCAGCTAGACTCACGTATTGCTAAATTATTCAGTCCTGCCTAGTCACCTCACCAGAGCAAAATTACATATGGCTACATTACACAAACATTTGATGTTTACCTTACAAATAATAAACACTATCAATGTTAAAGAGTCTACTGGGTGTGACAGGATAATCATTTTGAAACAATGGTAAAAAGGAAGAACTGAAGAAATAGATAAAAAAAAAAAAAGGGAAAGAAATCATATTCACTTAAATAAGCTCCAAATAGATTTAAGTATTAAAAAATTAAACCAGAAGAACTATATACAGAAACAGAAAATTCTATTCATTTCTGAGATTTAAGAAGCAAGCAAAAGGAGAAATTGGAAAATACTTAACAATTATATAAAAATATAACATTTCTACACCACAAAATCTAAGCTAAATTTAAAAAGAACAAACTAGGGAAGGAATTTTCATCAACTTTGACAAATACTATATATATAACATTTTTTTTCCTTTGCCTAGCAACTAGTGTTTTAAAAAGCATTATTTTAGTTGTAACAATATCAAGACTATACGAAAAGAGCTAAACAGACAAATAATTCAATTCACATGGTAAGAAACACCAGTCTCAGTGTGGTTTTTTCACATCTCACCAATATAAAATGGGAGAAAATCCCAATCTAACATTTTTTCCCACCATCTAGATCTAAAATATTTATAGAATTTCTTCTCTAAAAAGCAAGTTGACTAAGTTACAATCCTGGACACAAATATTTTAAAAAGTCAGTAACATTTAAAGAAACATGATCAGACTTGCTAAACAACCTATTCCACACATAGTGATGATTAATATTTTGTGCTTTTTCTCCCATTTGTCTTTTTAAAACTTTTCCTACTTATTCCTAGGGAAGAAAATTCACACAACATTCTCCAAAATAAAAATACTAAGGGCAAAAAATTCAGCATTGATACTGATAATTGATAAAATATTATCAATTAAATATGATAAATTATAAAATTATCTATAAAAATATCAATTATCAATGTTATTATCAATTATCAATTATTGATAAAATATTATCAATTATCAAAGTGATAACTGATAAAATATTATCAATTAAAAATCTAGGTAACAGAGGTTATGACCTCATCTACCACCACAAATTCAAGTCTGAAGTCTCCAGCAAAAGCAAGGCTTTTCTGATATTCAGTTCAGCACTCTTAGTACACCGACACTTTACCCTATTATTTTAAAAGCATGTAAGAGAGGTGGCTTTTTGAATAAAACAGACACACATTTTATAAACTCCTATACCATTTATATCACTAATTAAAGGACTGGTTCTGGATTTTTAATTTCCATAGGAAAAAACTGAACTTCAGGTAGTAGAAGAATAGAGAAAAATTACTTAATTTCAAGTTCACAGTCATCTAGTTATTTGTATCAGTTTGCTAACACCAGTTTTATTAGAAAATATTATTTATGAGCATTCCCTATTTTGTTTTAATAATTTATTACATGTAGGCTCATGGGGCTCCATCTTGTGGTTTATAGGGCTTATAATAAATCTGAACTCATGTGCTTTGCTTAAATAGTAGAATGCCATCTTTATCTGAGGCAATAGAGCCAAAAATTAACACCATTGTTTTTTCACTTGTCCTCACTGTTAACATTTCCATTTTTAAATTACTGGAATCATTTGTAACTAAATTAATAAAATATAAATAGTAACCTACCATGGTTTTCTATAGTATTTTAGCTTCTTTTTCCGATCCTTTCCCCTCTTTCTTGTGGTCTTTACGAGGCACTGTTTTGTGTGACAATACCTCCTCATAAGCCTTAGTCCCCTGACAGCTCAGCGTCAATACAGGAAAGATGTTTGAAGACCGGTTCTCTCGAATACACCTGTTAAGAGAAGACAAAAATCTCAAAACTACTTATTTACAATTAGTTTCAAATCTGAGTGTGAAGCCCATAAACATGTTTATAGAGGAAAATTACCTCAGTTCAAACAAAAAGCTAACACAAGGCCGGGCACAGTGGCTCACGCCTGTAATCTTACCACTCTGGGAGGCTGAGGCAAGCGATCGCTCAAGGTCAGGAGTTTGAAATCAGCTTGAGCAAGAGCAAGACCCCGCCTCTACAAAAATAGAAACAAATTAATTGGACAACTAAAAAAATATATAAAAAATTATGGCTCACGCTTGTAATCCTAGCACTCTGGGAGGCCGAGGCGGGCGGATTGCTCAAGGTCAGGAGTTCAAAACCAGCCTGAGCGAGACCCCGTCTCTACTATAAAAATATAAAGAAATTAATTGGCCAACTAATACATATATATATAAAAAATCAGCTGGGCATGGTGGCTCGTGCCTGTAGTCCCAGTGACTCGGGAGGCTGAGGCAGAAGGATTGCTTGAGCCCAGGAGTTTGAGGTTGCTGTGAGCTGGGCTGACGCCACGGCACTCACTCTAGCCTAGGCAAGAAAGCGAGACTCTGTCTCAAATTAAAAAAAAAAAAAAAAAAAAATTAGCCGGGCATGGTGGTGCATGCCTGTAGTCCCAGCTACTTGGGAGGCTGAGGCAGGAGGATCACTTAAGCCCAGGAGTTTGAGATTGCTGTGAGCTAGGCTGATGCCACTGCACTCTAGCCTGGGGAACAGAGTGAGAAGGTGATATGGCCAGAAAAGTTAACCCTCCTGGTGGCTATAATGTGGTAGCTGGCTGACTTGTAGTCAATGAGACAAATATATTTGCACACACAGACTCAGTTAAGAAGCACCACCTGGAGGAGTAATACTACTACTGGTGGCAACAATGTTGCAATTAACCATCAGATTTGCCATTAGAAATTGGTATTATTGGCCGGGCGCGGTGGCTCACGCCTGTAATCCTAGCACTCTGGGAGGCCAAGGCAGACAGATTGTTCGAGGTCAGGAGTTCGAGATCAGACTGAGCAAGAGCGAGACCCCCTCTCTACTAAAAATAGAAAGAAATTAATTGGCCAACTAATATATATAGAAAAAATTATCCAGGCATGGTGGTGCATGCCTATAGTCCCAGCTACTCAGGAGGCTGAGGCAGGAGGATCGGTTAAGCCCAGGAGTTGGAGGCTGCAGTGAGCTATGATGATGCTACTGCACTCCAGCCCAGGCAAGAGAGAGAGAAAATCTGTCTCAAATTAAAAAAAAAAAAGAAGAAGAAATTGGTATTACTTGGACCTCTCTGAAAATTCAGTAGATAAGAAACCTGAAAATGTGCCATGATGTTTTCCCACTGATACTGCCATTAGACAACAGATACTACATGTTATTAGCACAATGTTTGTTCGTTAATTATTTTTAGGTCTAAAATTCAGGATGCTTTTTTGGCTCTATTCCCCTAACTCCTAAAAGACCCTACTTGTGCCTCAGCCTATATGCACTGTTATGCCACAGGCTACTGAATATTCACTAGATCCTAACTTCATTACCCCTGGATATGCCTTGCCAGAAATAGCCAGTATATTTCTGCCCATAGGTCTAATTACCATTCTGTTACCCATTTTGTTCTACCTTCATAAGATTTTGTTTTATTCCAGATACTGTAAAAGTCAAGTCTTCTGAGTACTCATGAAATCTTTATATACTTAGAAGCCCAGTTGGTGAAAAAAGAAAAAGACAAAAATAAGGGCTAACATCAAAATAAAACACAAGCTTTCACTACATGGATATCAGAGGAACTAATTTATGTAACACATACCATACAAAAAACACAAAGAAAAATCCTTTCCTCTTCATCTAAATATCTTTCCTTTAAATTTTCTTTAAATAAGGAAACACCCTTAGAAGACTACTGTCCATAACAGTTTCTTAATATTATTGGTTGCTGTCTTAAAGAAATAAATTCCCTTTTAAATTATTTGGACCAGGAAAATTATAGATGTGATATTTAATTCTTCTCAGTACTTCAAATGAAAACAAAGACCCACAATTATAGTCAAATGACACTTAGCTGTGTGTGACCTACATGCAAAACTATTCACATCCTCTAACAACCTTCCCTAGCTCTGGTTTACAAAATCTACCTGAAATAAGCCAGTGAAGCTTGATTTAAAAAAAAAAAAAAAAGCATATAACTGAACATATTCTAATAAATAGAACTTACTTGGGTTATTATTCATATCACATTTAAGAAAGAATGCATGAGTGCTATAAATCATAGGGTCCTTTTGTACAACCAAGTGAAGAAACAGAGATTAAAACAAGATCTCAGGGCAAGAGGTATCTCAAAAATGCTCATCACTAAAATTGTACCTTCCATATAAAGATCATACTACACAACTAAAGTCTTCAGCATCTCTCATTCCCAACCCTACTCCATTCTAGGGGATTCAACCATTCAGTGCTTAGCTGTAAATCCAACAGCCAAAAAGGATTGCTATGTCTCCAACTGAGAACTGAAACCAAGAGCACAAGCTTTCTCTGTAAAGGTGTGAAGCCAAATAAATCAACCATTTTAAGAAAGTAGATTGAAAGCAAAAAGAGTGGGAACAATGCTAAGGAAGAGCTTCTTTCTGATGTAGTGGGGAAATTGTCGGTCACCAGTATAAGAGTACAGTACTCTGCAGCCATTTAGCATAGAGGAGAACTACATTATCCATACATCAACAACCTCTAGAAACTTCAGAGTATAATAGCACAGTGCAATAATTCACAATAAAAGCACAGATTCTTACAATCATATTCTGTCAGTGCTATAAAATGAACTTAGAAATCATATGACCAACCCTACCCTCAGTTTACACATGAAACAAAATCAGACATTATGTTCATACACGTAACCAGTGACAGGGCATGGTCTAGAGGCTGAATCATAAATCAGTACTGTTCCCCCACTATATCAATCTGATTGAGAAAAAGTCCAATTGTATTTGGTTTACTCTATGCAGACAGGGAGCAACTGCAACACATTTTTTTAAGAATTTCTCTTTTTTTAAGGAAAAAAAGGTCAACTTAGTGTATAAAATTTTGGCCTTGAAATTTTAAAAATACCAACTTTGCCATTTAATAGCTATGTGACCTTACTTAGAAAGCAATGTGATTCAAAAAGTCACTTAATTTCCTTGGGTCTCAGTTTCCTTTATACATAAAATGATAAATTATTCCATTATTAATTAACAGATAACACTTATGGAACTCAAACTTTGTACCAGGCACACCAATGCTTAAGAGCTTTTCATACATTAATTCATTTAATCCTCACAACAGTCTCAATTACTGTCTCCATTTAACACACAAGGAAACTAAAGCATAAAGGAGATAATATAACCTAATTAAAATCAAAAACCAAGTAAACAGTAGAGCCAAGATTCAGATCCAGACCATCTTCTTTAATATTATTTTGGCTATAAAAGATTTACATTTACTTCACGGGATCAACTTTAGCTATTTCAAAAATAAGTCTATGTAAATTACTAAGGCTGTCTAGCACACAGGCTTTGGAGTCAGACAGGCCTTAGATTAAAGCACCAGTTTTGCCACTTTCTTTATCTGAGCCAGAGTTTTCTTACCTGTACAACAGGGTGACTAGTGAATGAGACAGGTTATTAAAAAAAATACCTAGTAATATCTGTCAAATAGTATACACTCAATAAATAGTTTCAGGGAAAAAAAACACACGTTAAATTTTCTAATGTTAAATAGAAATGTTTTGTTTGCACATCAGATGTATGTACATCTCTCTGAAAAACTAAGCTTAGAAAAATACTAGCGGTGCTCTACTTAGAACAGCTTTAGGCAACAAGTGGAATGTTATATAAAGGCATGTGTATCACTTTTTATTGAGGTTTTTTTTTCAATTAGTAGAGATTATTTTTAGAGCAGTGTTAGATTTAAAGGAAAAATGAGTGGAGAATATTTCCTTTTGTCCCCACCACACACAGTTTCCCTTTCTATTGACATCTTGCATTAGTATGGTACATTTGTTACCAAGGATGTGCCAATGTTGATATATTATTAACTGAAGTTCACAGTTTACATTAGGGTTCACTCTTTGTATTGTAGATTTTATGGTTTTGACATATGAATACATCCACCACTACAGTATCATATAGAATAGTTTCATTGCCCTAAAAATCCCGTGCTCCACCTATTTGACCATTCCTGCCTCTGCACAAGGCCCTGGTAACCACAAATTTTTTTTTTATAGTCTATACTTTTGTCTTTCTTTTCAAGAATGTCATAGTTGGAGTCATACAGTATATGTAGCATTTTCAGACTGTCTCTTTCATTTAATGATAAGCATTTAAAGCTTTCTCCATGTTTTTCCATGATTTAGTAGCTCATTTCTTTCTATCACTGAATAATTCGTTGTATGAATGTATGATATTTTATCCATTCACCTGCTAAAGGACATCTTGATTGATTCCAAGTTTTGAAAATTATGAATAAAGTACTATAAACATAAGTGTTTCTGTGTAGACATAGTTTTCAACTTCTTTGGGTAAATACCAAGGAGAGCAATTGCTGGATCATATGATAAGAGTACGTTTAGCTTTTTTAAGAAACCACTAAACTGTTTTTCTAAGTGGCTATAGCATTTTACATTCCCACCAGTAATGAATGAGAATTCCTATTGCTCCACATCCTCCTCAGCATTTGGTGTTGTCAGTGTTCTTGATTTTGGCCATTCTAATACATGTAAAGTAGTATATCATTGTTGTTTTAATCTGAAATTCTCTGATAACATATGATGTTGAGCATTTTATCACATGCTTATTTGCCATCCGCATTATTTTCTTCAGTGACGCGCCAAGATTTTCTAACCATTTTTTAATTGGGTTATTTTCATATCGTTTAGTCTTAAGAGTTCTTTCTATATTTTGGACACCAGTCCTTTATCTGATACGTGTTTTGCAAAGATTTTTTTC